AATCTAAGGCTAATCTTACTGTTTTGTGTTGTGACACATCAGCTTAGAATGACTATTATGATATGCTTAACTACAAAACAACTGCTGATTTATTCTGATTTTCTACAAGTAATCTATTATTCCTTTTAAAATGCAAATTTTCCCTTTTAACTGTGGATTGAACATCATTCAATCCCACTCTGCACCACAGAACTGACAAAATCATCAACCTAACAAATGCTTAAGGAACAATTACTTGTTGTAAATATATAAAGCAAGTGGTATAGCAAATCTTGCTAATAAGCAGCAAGTTTCACACACAGATAAATGTCTCATTTCAAGCTGTCATTTAAACCAATACCAGCAGTGGAAAAAACTCAACATTCTGCCTCATTTTTTAACAACACTCTCCCAGATTTCATTGGGATATTATATGCAGAACAGCTGTTTAGCAAAACAAATAATAACCGGGGAAGGGCATGGTCTAGAAGAAAAGCAAGTTTCCTGAAGACATGAAAGAACTACCTGGATTTCCTGGTCAAACACTTTGAATTAGGCTACAGCTACACAAGCTGCTAGTTTTCACTGCAGCTTTTAAAAATATCCTGGACTAAATCTGGAAAGATTAAAAACTAGTATAAACTATCAGCGCTGGTCATTCAACTATACAGTTTAAAACAAGGGAAGAATACTTCACATGCATCGGTCCTAAAATACAATCTAAATACAAGTTTAAACTTAAAACACCTCAAATTAATCTAATTCTGAAAAAAAAATTACCTTTGGAAAGTACTTGGACAGTCCCATGTAAGCAAGTTGTAGAGTAAGAAACGGTGCAAATATTGACTGAAGGAACAGAAAAGAATATATAAAAATTAACTTGGTCAGAATAGCTAAGAAACACAAAGATTTAATGCTTCCAAAGCAGAAAAGAAAATTATTAGGTAAAAATTAATTTGTGGAACAGAGCAAAGTTGTTCTTGAATACTAAAAATCTAAGTAGACAAGTTACATGCCAAAAATAAGGTTCTGCCTAATATTCATTGAGCCAAAAGAACTGAAATGGCAGAAGAGAACAGCAAAGTGCAAAACTGAGCCCAGGGATCCAGGAGCTGTATGGCTGCAGCTGCATCACACCTCTGTGCTTTTGTTCTCGCTGGCACTGGGAATACTGAGGAACTACTGATAAATGAGTATCTTGGTACAACTATTATTCTTAGAATCACAGAATTATTTGGGTTGAAAGTGGCCTGAAAAGCCATTTCATTCCAAACCCATGGGCAGGGATACTTTCTACAAGATCAGGCTGCTTCAAGCTTCATCTAACCTGGCCTTGGACACTTCCACAGATGAGAGCTCTATTCTTACTCTATTATTCTTTTGTAGACCCTAAACTCGAGGAGCAGCTGACTCATATGCTCACCAAGATAGGAATAAACATGCAGGGCATTTAAGCTGCAACAACTATTCCAGTGTTCCACAACAACACACACAACAGACCAAATGTGCTGCTCTCAGTGGTTACACAGTGGCTGTATTTGTAGCAGATAAATCTCATAGAATTCAGCATTTTTTTTTAGGTTTTATATAATTTTTGGAAATATAGAGTGCCTGAAGTTCCCAACTGGGTCGTTACCAATAGACTTCAGCCCCAGATATTTCCCAGTAACTTGCACCAAGCAGCAAGCCCCAGCAGGACTGTGTCCCTGAACTCACCAGGTACTTGCACACGAAAGCCCTGACCACGATGGCGAGCAGAGCACACCCCAGCAATCTGAAAATGCGGAAAGAGTCAAACTCCTCCGCCGCATTCCCGTTCTCCTGGCTCGGCTTCTCACTCATCAGCTGGTTCCTCAGCTTCAGAGCTTCATCAAACCTGGACAGGTACTGCTCCAAGCCATGTCTCGGTGGCCGTGGTGCAGCCTCAGAGGGCAGCTCTCCCCTGTGACGCTGACGGAGCTCGCCTGTCCCCTCGGTGACCAGCTCTGGGGCTTTACCAAACAAGTCCTTGTCCCCTCTGAGCTCTGCCATGCTGCCCGCATGCTCGGTCGAGCCTGTCACGTTACACATAGAATCACCAAGCACAATCCGCTTGGAAACTGAAGGAATGGAAAGGGAGTTTGATTTCTCTTGCTCGTGCTGAAGCTTTAATTCTGTGTGACCTTCATCATCTAAGGAAGAAAAATAAAAACAGAGTTACGCATGCTGTGTACATGGAACAACACTTCAGCTACACTGGGTCAGGATCCTGGGCCTCTGCTTCCCAAGAGAAAAGACACATTTATGATTAAAGAGGGCACTCTTCATGGAGCAGACACAAGACATAAAGCTGTGCAATGCAGGTCAGAAGTTGAGGCAATAGAGATATTAAAACACTGAGCTTCCTTAAGCAAGAGCACTGCACACACAAACAGAAAGATCCAAATACATGGACTGAAATTAAAAAAAAAAGACAAAGATTTGCAGAAAGTGACCCAACCAAAAGAGCACTAATACCTGACAAAGAAGCAGACAAGAGAAGTGCACTTTAGCTTGCTGTTCTACTGTCAGAGGCAGAGCAGTGTTAATCTGTTCTGTATGAAGCCTGAAGACCCATCTTACAGAGACAGAGGTGAAGGCAGAGAGCAAAAGGCAAATCAAGAGCATGTCTGGACCTACCACAGAGCAAGAACTAACACTTCAGGAATTCTTTTCAGTGTTAAGTCAGACTGATTCACAGCTCATGGGCATCCTTATAAACCAAAATCTGAGAATTTTTCCTGACAAGACAGCCCATTTGAAGAATGTACAGAGATATAAGTGCACTACCCAGTATATGGCTCTGCAAGAAAATTCTGCGTAACAACCACAAACATCTATGTCACTATCCAAATGTGAGATAACTTGGCTATAAAAAGCCAGCTATGAAAGGCAACAGCTACTGACTAAAAACATGGGGGAAGCTCATCGATTCTTCAACTAAAAAACCTACTTGCAGTGAAATGACAGCTTGTATGCTCGCTGTCTAGGGACCGTGCCGGGCCCAAGTCCCGACCTTTCCGGCGGCACAGGGATTTTTTGGGCGGGTCCCTGGCGGAGCAGGGCAGGTCGTGCTGTGGAAGCATCCCTGCGGACGGAGGCGGCACTGAGGGGAGCCAGCCGCTCCTGCTCACCAGGGCACCGCGGGCAGCGCTCACGGCCGGAGAGGCCGAGGCGTCACCGCAGCCCCGGAGCCCTCACACAGCCCCGCCGCACCCGCCACGGGGCTCACCCTTGCCCGCCGCAGGCCGGTGGAAGCCCATGATGCGGTTGATCCGCTCCTCCGAGTTCATGAGCAGCTTCCTGCGGCGCAGCTCTGCGCGGCGCTGGGAGGCCGAGAGCCCCGCGGGGGGCCCCGGCGGTGCGGCCGCCGCTCCCGGGCCGCCGTCCGCCATCCCCGGCACCGCAGGCCCGCCGCCGCGGGCCCGCCCCGCCCACCGCGCAGGCGCCGGCGCCGCCCGCCTCCAGCCGCTGAAGCGGGCGCCGCCATTTTGCGTAGGGGCAGGAGAAGGGCGGGGCGCGCTGGGAGAGCGCTCCGCGCGCCCCTCTCTGACGGCGCGGCGCCCGCACTCAAGATGGCTGCCGCGGCCTCAGGCGTGACGTCAGGGTGCGGGGGTGGGAAAGGGCGATGGTGGCGCTGAGGGGAGGCGGTGACGGGGACACACACGGGACAGCCCCGAGTCTGGCACGGCACCGCCGCGGGGCTGGCGGTGCACGCCGAGGACACACCAACAGACAAGCACCGCTCGAGGACGCCAGAGCTACTGGCATTATCGAACAGGGAGCGTATTGACTTCTTTGCTGTAAGATCCAGTTGGCCTAATATCCATCTTTATGGCCACCGAAAATCCGGCAACACCTCTCCTTGTGTGCCAGGTAATAAAACTGCCACGTTACCCTGACCAGCCCATGACACATAGGGCTCCCATCAGCACCACTGTCCTGGCACCGAAAAGCTGCAGTGCCCTGCTCGGAGGCGCTGCCATGGGAGCGGGACTCGCCTCCAGAGCCCGGCAACCCAAAGCCACGGCCAGGACAAACCCGCTGCCAGGACAAACCCACGGCCAGGACAAACCCACGGCCAGGACAAACCCACGGCCAGGACAGGTGCCCACTGCCAGGACAAACCCACGGCCAGGACAAAGCCCACGGCCAGGACAAACCCACTGCCAGGACAAACCCACGGCCAGGACAGGTGCCCACTGCCAGGACAAACCCGCTGCCAGGACAAACCCACGGCCAGGACAAACCCACTGCCAGGACAAACCCCACGGCCAGGACAAACCCACTGCCAGGACAAACCCGCTGCCAGGACAAACCCACGGCCAGGACAAACCCACTGCCAGGACAAACCTGCTGCCAGGACAAACCCACGGCCAGCACAAACCCGCTGCCAGGACAAACCCGCTGCCAGGACAAAGCCCACGGCCAGGACAAACCCACGGCCAGGACAAACCCACGGCCAGGACAAACCCACTGCCAGGACAAACCCACTGCCAGGACAGGTGCCCACGGCCAGGACAAACCCACGGCCAGGACAGGTGCCCACGACTCCCCCAGCCACTGCAGGAGTGGTGGAGTTCAGCAGCAGCAGGCCAGTGTTATGTGTATTGGGGAAAAAAACAGAGCTGACAAATCCAATTAATATTTCTACAATACTGAACGAGAGAATTCTGTATTTAAAACCAGTTAAATACAGAAGTCAGACTACCAAGCTCATGCATTAACTCATCTATAATGGGCCAGAGGCAGCAGTGAGAACATCTCAAAAAAATCTGTAAGCATTAAGATGGAATGGCTTTTACAAAAAAGCTGCTGAAATAATGGGATGTTAAATGAAGATAGAGGATTAGCTAAAATGAAATTGATCACCATCTTGGGATGTTGCTGAAGGCTAAATTCCAGCCATCACTGTCAGCAAGCTCCTGTGATCAACATGGTGTTTCTCTCAATTAAATACATTGTTCTACTTTTATTTATAAGAAAAGAGTGATGGACTGGCATGAGTTCTTTCAATTAATTTTATTGAGTAGCCAAATCTGATAAATTAGCACAGATAAAATAAGCATTTGCATGTGTTATAAATGACTTTTTACAGGAATAAAACAGTGAAAATTACAAACTGTAAAAAGGAGGACAAGTAAATCCTGTCTCAAATTCAGAAGGGGGAAGATTTATAACTTCATACTGAAGATCAAATCTTTGCATTCAGAGAACAAAGATTTAATATTACAATATTATACACTAGTTTACAAAATTAAATTTACTATAAGGATTACATCCATAATAGTAAACAGAACCTTAAAATCACATTTAATGGTCCCTTAACTTAACAGCCATTCTGCATCTTTGATTAAATTCTGTTAAGAAATTAATTCTAAATAAAAGTGAATCATTCTAGTTATTGCAACATAGTCTATGGACTTAGACTCAAATATATTAATTTAAAAACAGTAATGAAAGCAAAGTAAAATGGATGGTAACAATGTTGGCTGAACACTTATGTGTCAAAATAAGAAATAGTATTAAAAAAAAAAAGTGACTACAAAGAGAGACACCTTCACCACACATTTATAGTGGTGGAGTTGTGGTGCTGAGATCTAAGTAGCAGAACCACTCTTGCCTATTTTTGTAGTCCATCTTCAGTGTCCTCGTTTTACAATTGTATGTAAAAAAGCAACCACAGGTAGTGTGTGTGTTCATGTTCCCTGTATTGCCATTACAGCAGTACAAGTGAACCAGCAGGCCTTCCCCCCTGCAAGGGAATAAACAAAGTTCAATAATTTCTTCTGAAGTGAACTCCCAGACGGTTCATCTGACTCATTTATCATGTTTTGCTCTCTAAAACTTAGGGACTCATCTTCAAACTTGTTAACTGCCACAAAGACTGACATCTTCAGCCATTAGTCTGGTGTACATAAAGCACATAAAGCAATGAGGCCATCTCCAGTATTTCTGTGTCTTAAAAAAAAGGGATATAGTAGCAAAATACAGTCACAGTAAGAAATAGACTTTGGGTGGGCTATTTGATGTAAGGATGGTTTTCAATTCAACTTCTGAGTGATAATATACCCAAAACCACAAGGTTTAGGGCAGAACCTATGCAAGTGCAGAGGTTCCATTTATGATTTAAATGAAGAGATCCCTTTCCCTCTCCCTGTGGGGGAAAAAAAATCAGACTGCAAAGCTTAAAAGACATCTCTTCACTATGACTAGAAACTGTGCAATTCTCTGAAAAGCAGTTCAAGTAAATATATTCCTGTTTGCTACGGAGGCAGCAGACAGGGAAGCTTAAATTGGTTCTTTAATACTATTTTCATGCTGTTTTAGCCATTGTTCTGAACTTTAGCTTCTTGTGCTCAAGAACAATTTCTCCCAAGCAACTCCTCCCCTGTCACGAGGCAAATCCTGACAATTACAAGCAGCTACAGCCTGAAATGGGAGCAAATGTATACCCAAAAGTTTACCCTACTGACATTTTTATCTCCAAAAGTCCTAAGCACAGTACATTTGACCACTCACAAGTGTTTTACCTCTTCAAGTTACTTGCCCCACAAAGTAGGTTTGAAAGACCTTTAAGCTTACCACTATTAAATAAAAAAAGCAAACCAAGATTTTTCCATATGTACCACTTCCATGGGCATTGGAATACAGTAACTTAAAAACTTTTTACATTGGTAGCTATCAATGATAGCTTAATCTTGAAAACTAAAGAATTATCAATACACCTCTATAAAATTATTTAAATATTTTTTGTATACAAGCTTTTACTTCAAATCCGTTGTCAGCTTCGGTCTGTAGCTCTGGCAGGATCTCAGAGTATATTTAAAGCTTTTATTTGGTGCACAGTGGCCTTGGACCTGGGCTCATTACACAGCTCCAGCAAAACACCTTTTTTTTAAAAAACTTCAGGCATGTCTGCAACCATATACATATCTTCAAATTCATTATAATAATTTTGTTCTTGGAAAAATAATTTCCAATTTGAATGTCAGAATATTCATTGTTGCAGACCAACATTTGGTCTGAAGTGCTGCCAACAAACTTGCTTCAGAAACACCAGATCTGAGGGGCCCAACATTCACTTAAAGTAAACAAGACCTAAAAGTCTACTGAACATAAACCAAACAAAATCTGAGATAGCCTTCCTTGCTCTTCCCCTCCCACACTATTCATAAGTAGATATTAAAACTATTCTTTTTACTGAAGAAAAGCAAAGCTTACAATCCAAGTCTACCTTTGCTGCCAACTCAGCCAATGACTTTTTAAAATCTGCCTCATGTAGGGCCCACTTTTCCCCACTGTTTTTAAAATTAGAATACTGACTTATTAAAAGCCTCAAGAAATTCATCCACCTTATCCAGGTTAAGCTTACCTTTAGTCCTATTAGCCATAATCCAATCCAAGCACTGGATTCTACACTTCACAAGCATTTGTTCATTTCACAATGAACACTTCTTTCATTGCTACTTTAAGCAATAAGTTGAACATTGAGATGCTCTGTCTACAATCACTGGATGCACTTAGAAAGAATTTCCCTGCAAATCATGATCAGTATTGTGAGGTTTTATATCTAGCAGCAACAACAACAAAAAAAAACCAAAACAGTTACAGAAATATACATTTTGAACAACAAAGAACTCTTTATTTTACAAAATGTATTTCACCTTTTCAGTATTGCCTTTGTAAATGTACTTCATGCTGCAACTACTTACAGTAAAAACACAATTTGCAGCAAATTAAAGGTGCTCAACCAGTTCCAACGGTTTGATTTTTAAGGTACAATATTATGTAGTTGCACATTTGAGTCTCAGATGTGGTCCTTTATTTGCTTTAGTTCGTTGAAATCACAGTGAGAACTTCTCATCAACTGCCTCAGGCCACAGATTTAATGAAGATACTACAAGCACAATCATTCTTTACTGCAAAATCTTTCCTTAAAGAAGTAAGCCAGAGGCTAGTGTTTCATTTATTCACTTGCTGCTGTATATGAAGGAGGAATTCATAGTATGATAAGGCTGATTCTGTTCTGTCTTCAATCATATTTTGCAGAAAAATTGATTTCAATGGACTTTCATCCCTTAAAAACAAAAATATAAGTGTTTGAGTGGAATTAACATTTGCCATGGGCTACCATCCACTAATAAAATTACAGGTCAAGTGGCAAGACATTTCAAAAGCTTAAGGACATACAAAAAAAGGATCTCAAATAGTCTTCAGTAGTGATTAATCCTAATAAGTGCTCTTACCAGCATTTACTTCATTTATCTGACATTGCCTAAAGATTCCTCTGTGACATTTATTCTTAGTCTTTTGAAATTCTAATTGGAGACAACTCATAAGTCATATCTGTAGTCAAATCTGTCAAGCACAGCACACACTATTGTTAAGAATTCCATTAGGAAAGTTCAGTATATGATATCCAAGTATGTATTGTTAACAGGTTGCTGAAGAAGCAAAGAGACTTTTAAAAAACACTTACTTTATTATATATAGTATAGGAAAGAAAGGTCTCTGCTCCCTCAGCCAAGAAATGAAAGTTCGTGTTCTGATGGATTCTGCCGTTTCAAGTTCTGGGAGATGTGTCTAAAAGCCAAAGGGTTTCATTAATACAAATTTTTCATAAAAACAGTATAAGGAACACTTCAAATAGTCCAACTCATTAGGTATAAAGAAAACCCAGACAGATCTGTTTTGTGATGTATAGTTTCAGTCTTGTCTTCTCTGAAGGGGCTTGAAATAGTCAAGAGCACTAAACTCCTTTCAGCAATTAGCTGTCAGAATGGTGATGACTGAGCTGTGATTGATTCCTGTTTTGTTGCAGAAACTAAAGGATTTCCCACTAACCCATGGTGCTCTCTATTTGCAAGTGTTCTTAGTCTGCTCCCACAGGTCTGAGAAACTCAATCATTGTCAGCCTCTTCCTACTGTGTCTTCATGAGGGGAAACTCCAAGAGGTAACAGCAATTATTTCTTTTCTTGGATCTGGATCTATACCACTAGAGGGCTAATATCCGAGTAGTGTAATTTAATTCTCATGCAAATGATATTCTGGCAGCGCTGTATGTATGACTGATGTGCAGAGCAAGCACGTACCATATTCTGTGGTATTGAGCCATAATTTGGAACTCCAAGGACTTGGCTGATAAAACCCTGCCCACAGTTCTTCCCAATCCACAGAAACATCACCTGAAAGAAACCCAACAATAACATTAATCAAGCCCAAAACACACCTCAGCAGTCTCATACATATTTTGGGTTCTCAGAAAGAACACACCAAGTAAACTTGGATACTTTTTTAAATCCCCCCCACCACACAACTTACCGACCCAGCATCCATAAGATAAGCACCATCCCTACTCAACTTCTCCACTGACAGCTGGAGAAGGGGTGGCTGAGGTATTGTTCTGTCATTTATGTTAAGAGCTCCCTAAAAGAAGGATGGAAAACAGTGGTTCATATTTTGATGAAAAAAAACCAGAGTATAACACTAAATAAGACGAGGATATATTACACTGAATACTGGAACTGGACCATTTTTTTCACTTTAGCTCAAGCCATTCTGATCACTTAAAGTGATAATTTACTTTATTAATTAGTAATTTACTAATAAATCTTAATGTTTTATTTAGAAAGGGTAGATGTCATCAAATGTATTTTAGTTAATTACTTCTAGAACTGGAATATCTGATTTATTATGTACCAAAGATGTGATTTCTAAAATTATTCAGGGTTTTACATAAACATTCCCTGTTCTCAAAACTGTTTGATATTTTAACATAAAGGAAGCTACAAAGGGACAAAAACCACATTATGATGTCTTTATGTATATGTGACTTTATAGCACAAGATAATGACACAAGGCAAGGGTGAAATAAGTTAGGAAAAAACTTTCCCCATCCATCCATAGCAAAACACAGCTCTTCTCCAGAATTCATCAATCCAGTTCCAAATAACAAATGCATAAATGCAACAAGTGGGGAAATACGAAACATTGCATTTTAGCTATGCAGCTTTAATATGGAAAACTTGGGAGATTTCTAACACATTTACTTTCACATCACATAGATCTTTGGAATCAAACAGATTATGCAGCAAGGCCAAGACTCACCTCATCTGTGAGACTATCAACTCTGTACAGACTGGGATGTGTCATGAGCATGAGGTAAACAAGGGGCTGGTTTTTCACCTGACACATGGTAAAGATGCGTTCATCCAAACGTGTGTTTGTCCCAGTTTGAAATGATTTCTGCAAACAACCAAGCATTTAGTTTAACCATTAAAGCAAAGCAAGATAAGACACATTGCCTACTGCTTAAGTTTTAAAGATGTACCCGAAGTCTTTTCTCATTGTATTTTACTTCTCCATAGTTCTCTTCAGTGTTTCACATAGAAATCAAACATTTCTGGATTTTAGAACTAACCTCAACCTGGCACCATCAGTCCTCTCTTACAGCTATGAAAGCTATCTCTTACAGAGATGAATGCACCCTAAAATACTAACATAGACCTCAAAAATGCTACTTCATCAAAAATGATGAAATTTAAAAGCATAAATATTGGAGCAGTTTACAATTGGTTTCAATGTACACAATCTTAGGTCTGTATTAACAAGAAAGAGATAGTCCTGGCTTGCTGGGACAAAAAAAAAAGCTATAAATCAAAGTAGGGCTCACTCCTCCCACCTGACTGGATCAAATGCTTATCAAGCCTTTCATATGAAAAAGCTCAGTATGAACATGCTGGTTAATTCCTAACCAAGATGTATGAATCCAAAACTTCTTTTTGAACCAAGAAACCAGTCTGTCCAACACTTAAATGTTATTTCTAGTATCAGTTCAGGGAAATTAAATTTAAAAATACTTACACTGATCAAATACTGTGAAATGCTTTAAACCTGTTGCAAGAACAGCCAGCCAACTCCCTCTCTGCCACACCCAGCTCTCTTCTAATCCACACTGAACTGCTGTGTGGATCTGCATTTCCAGATACACACAAAACTGAGATTTCTGAGAAAACGCTATCAGTACCGTGACACATTCTCTTCACTAGTCAGTGTCTTTATTATTTTGCCATCCATTGCTTAAAACATTTATACTTTTGGTTTAATGCACACTTCTAAATTCCTACTTTTGAACTAAATCATTCCCCATCAAAGAACTGTCCTTTGACTTCAGGCTGACCTGCCAGACAATCATCCTCGTGCCTGGCTTCCCTTCCCCTCTTACCTGTTTTAAGAGTGCCAGTATATAAAGTGGGAAGAGCCGCAGTGAGAAGGGAGCTGTGAGCCCTGGCTGTTGGATGCTCAGCACGGAGGAGCGATAAGCAGCTAAAGAATCGATCACTGCATTGACCAAGGCATCCCGAGCATCGCTCAGCGTGGCGGAAACAGAGCGGTCCACAGCTGACAAAAGAGTGCAAGGCTCAAGTAAGAGGGGCTCCTCCCTTGGCAGGAATACAGTCACAAACATGAACTTCTTTCATGTTATCATATATGTTGATGCAGCTTAAGCTTTTACTACATTCTAGGGGAAGTCAAGTGCTTCAGAAAAAAGCTGGGGGCCCATTATGATGCACCACACTGAGCCTAAGCCCAGGTGATTACACACAGCTCTACTGATCCTTCACCTAAGCCAAGCATTAAAACCTAAACTCTCTTAGGATTGCAACTTCAAAAGCACTCTTAGAATGAGGGAGAATCTTTTCTTCTAATCCAGAGGATTATTGCTCAGACCTTTAAGGATACAATCCACACATATCCACACAAGCTCCTAGCACACTCACCCATATTGGCTAGGAGCCCTGTGATGGCCTGCACATCTGCCCCCAGGTACACTTCACTCAGCGTTGTGACAACAGGTAAGCACATAGTGTGGACACGAATTCGTCTTTCACCTGCAAGGAAAGACAACTGTAACCTCCATGCTTGTTTGATGAAGCAACACTACAAAAGCCACTGCTGGCTCAATCTAACCTTACCTTTGCTGGAGGTGTACAGGAGAGCTGACTGAAAAGAAACAACTTGCATATCAGTAAGACTCTCTTCCACTGACATTTGCACAGCGTATCCCGCATCTGGGTTTACATTGGGTAATGACAACAAGTCTGTAGATCGTACAAAGAAGTTCCCATGGAAAGTATGAATGGAAAGACCTACAAGACAATAATGAATCAGTATGGGTCCTATAGCTGTGAAGTACAGGCACTATATACAGATCTGCCATCAATATGTATGACTGTACTGGAAAGTTCCCTCTCAATGAAATACATTATCTTCAGAAAGGTAAACACTGCAAGCTGACAACTCATCCAAAGAATCTACAAAGCCTAACAGAAAGTGGGAATTAGCAAGGCAAATCAATGCAGAGTAGTAGAGAGTATCTAGATTATACAAACAGTCCCTTGCTGAAATAGTTCAGGAAATTTTCCCAGTTTTGACCATTATAAACTGGAACCTGAATGCCAAAAAACACACTGCAAATACAGTGTTAAAAAAAACCTGTCTTATCCCTGGTACTGAATTTTACTTTTCTGATCATTACCTTTTAATCATTTGAGGTTACAAAATAGCTAGAATACCAATGAAAACATTCCCAAAGAGTAGCAAACACCCACTTCCCTCTTCTTCACCCTGCAAAAGTCTAAGAAGATTTTTGTGAATTCAGACCTTTGGTGCATCTTATCCTCATGACAGCCTCAAACCCAATTTTTCTAGTTAAATATCGCTTCAGTTCCTTTTGCAGTTTCTCCACCTGGACAGGGTTGTGTTTATGATGGTAAGATTGGTAGTAGTAGACACTACCTGCAGAATACCTTGATATACAACCTGAAACAAAACCAGTATACATTGGAGAGTGGAGACAGTTGCTGCTGCAGTCTTTAAAGTATTCAATTGTTCACACCTGCAAATCACTCAAATACGAAGTTACAGATCTGCCTACAGAGACAAATGTAGATACAACTGTATATTCTAATATGTGACAAATTTCAGGTGTGAAATAGTTTTCCATTGACCTGAAATTACTGTCACTTGAAAGTTTGGTTAAATAGAAAAAAAATAATTAAAATGCTAATAAAACTTGCTCTAAAGGCAATGACACTGATGGTTAAAAGGGCATAAAAAAGGAAGAAACTATTTCTGCAACTTGCATCAGTAGCACAAGAATCCTGAGTCACTAAGGGAGGACACGAAAAGAAGTAGGTTAAATCAAGACTTAAAAGATCACATTCTATTCACCGTCACTGCCCTGCAAGGACAAGTTTGTATCTTGACACACTAGTTTAATTCAAATCACGTTCATCTACTAAATATTAATATAGATTCTATGCATTTTCTCAAAATACAAGAGTTACATGCCCCAAAAGAGCTTTATATGACGTACCTAGAGAAGCCAAGTCAGAATATTGCCCACTAAGAAGAAATAAATCCACTGCAACCTGTTGCCCTGAACAGTCCAAGGCCAACTTCTTGTAAAAATCAGTTGATGGTGTCAGATGTATATCCTGTTAACACAGTGGAGTATTACAAAATACAAATGTAATTAAAATAGATTCATACATTTATTGTCTGTTTTCAGAGACACAATCAATTCTCCATCATTGATTAAAAATATTTCCTTAAAAAAAAATCAAGTAATTATTTTGTGTTTATATTGTCTGGTTTTTCTTTTGGTTTTTCCTGCCACTTTAAAAGGAGCAAGACAAGCACAAAATTAACCCAGAAGAGGAAATCCCAGAACCACCTACATGCACAGAACAGAGTTGTTAAAACTCTCAACCTTTTTGCTTTCCTAACCTTTGCTGTTGCTCTTTGGTTTGGCTCCTCTCGTGACTTTAGTGCTCCCATTCCCACAGACGGGAGCTGTGTCTGGAAGACAGTGATTCTACCTCCAGTGGGGGACATCAGTTTAAAGGCAGCCTGCAATGCAGGCCCCAGAGCACTCTGAGTTTCCAGGGACTTGGTAAACATCTGTGGCAATGTCCTCAGCAGATCTTGAATTAGCTACAAGTGAGAAAACAGTATTAGGCCTATGAAGGTTTTCTACTTTATATAGACCGATAGCTGAACATAACCAAGTATTAACACTTCTAAAAGTCCTAGAAAAATTGAAGTACTGTCTTGTTTCAGGTTGGCAAGAACTTACAGTGACATAGATAAAAGACCTCTTTTCTTGCCTCAAACCTGGCATTTGAACAGCTGGTGTTAATGAGCATTAATTAATCAAAACATTACCAAACATATCCTCCTCAATTATGTAAACGTCACTAGTTATGTAAAAAAGTCCTTGCTTCTTACCTCTTTATTTTCATTCAAATTTACTAATAAGTTTTCTGGCATTGGTATAAACACATCTGAAAGGGAAAAAAATGTTTGAGTTATCTTTTAAAAACACATCAAGCTTTCCCTGACTTTATTTGCCAACCATCATACTTATGGGAAAAAAATACACAGTATCAGTGTATTAACCCATGTAAACATAATTATGGGGATTTCTTTTTTTTCCTCATAAGCATTCCTGTGGCTAGAATCCCATGTTAAGTGCAGCTATCAACAGGGCTGAAGGGTAATCAAGACTGTTAAATAAAATCACATCAAGACTGTTAAATAAAATCACATAGCAAATATTTCCAGTGTTCATTCTACCCTGCCCAATAATACCCAGTGAAAGGTGATTTGAAACAAAAGGCAGGACAAGCACTAAGCACCAGCTACAAGAAAATCTATATAAAAGTATCTAGCATCAGTATTAGGGATTTCAAGAGGAATCTAGAGATTTGTACAAATTAAACTAGAAGTTAGGAAAGCTGTCTTCATGTTTGAAGTCATGAGCAGCCACAGCATTGCTCAGACATGAGGGAGATGTCTTCATAAACAAACTTGCAAAATATGGTATTTCTAAAGTCATTACTAGAGAGACTAATGGTGTGATCTAGAAACTCCCACCAGATCTGTATTTTTAAAGGCTGTCATAACCAGAAGTCATTAATAGGTACTGATCACAAAAATTATTTTTGCATACCTTCAATATCTGAAACTATAAGCATCTGAGGCTGAGAGAGACCTTCCTGAAGACTGTAGAAATGGATTGTGCTGTCAAACGTTATGAAGCCTATTTTTGTTCTAGTGTTCCCAGGAAGCCTGAAAATGAGACATATGGTGTTCAACAACATGAAATTTCATTTCTGCAGGCTTTTTTTTTTTTTTTAACATCCACTGCATCTCTCTGTGGTGGTTACCAAGCAGATAGTTTAACAGTTAGACTGCAAGAGCTTCACTAAGTCATTCTGGAAAGAAAAAAAGCCACAACAAAAAAGTAGCTCATGGTAGAGTCAACTAGCAGGCAGGTGAAAACCTTTTAAGAGGGTAATCAGAAGTGGAAGAAAAGGAATAAATAAACTGCAAAATTCCAAGTAGTGTTTATATAAAATTCAAACAGTATGCATTTTATGACAAGTTTATTAGATGTATGACTCTTTTCAGCAAATACTTATCTAAATTTCAGCTTCTTAAAAAATACAGTTCAAAAGATAAGCATGATGCTTACATTCTTTTGGGGATTTATGAAGCATATAGGAAAGAATCAGACTGAAAATCAAGCCTCAAAATTACCTTTTATACTGGTGTAGCTGTGAGGGGAAAAAGACTACAGCTTTATGGCCCACTTTAACACAACACTGGCCATTGTTTGCCCACACTAGAAAACTTGTCTTCCAGACAGAAAGGATTGGCATGTTGGTGTCTATCACAAGTTTCTTAAGGCGAATGAAAATTGGAGATTTTAAGAAAAAAGTACTTACGAGTCAAGATTGTCTAACAAGGTCTGACAGACTGTGTTCAAGTATCCTGTCTCCACTGCATTGTGAGAGACATCAAACACAAAGAGGTACACGGGTGGCTGAGGTGGACGCAGCTGAGCAAAGAAAAGATTACCTTTCATTTTCAAATAGCATTTGTTAGATTTGGTTTATTCATTCTATTCCAAGTTTAAACTGCTAAAACAGCACACAGATGATAGCTAAAATTTCTGGATGCATTTGCCTCTTATTTGGTAATACCAGAATTCTAGTTTTCTTCCCAAAATACCTACATATTCCAAATACAGAACAACTTTGACATCATAAATGTTTAGAAGTGAACTCTAAGGTCCTCCCCATGATACACTCCTTAAGGCAACAGCTGTTCTACTGAACTGGAAAGCATCCTCTGAAACAAAGCTTTCTCTGATTTCCCTCTAAAAATAAAACAAAGGGAGAGAATAAGTAAATAAAGCCTTACCATGTATTCAGATGGAGCCATAAACTCAATAGTAGCATTCTGGACTTCAGGTCTTTTATGAGGTTCTCCATAAACTCTTGTCACAGGATTATACAGGAATTCTTCAGGAACTACACAGATAAGTTTATAAATTAGTATTTCACACTAGTATTGGCTGTGCTACATTTTAAAACAAATACATCAACTCTTTTGTGGCTGTTGGGCCACATGGGGAACTATACCAGGCAGTGGAGTTGTTACACTTGTGCAAGGGTACTGTGAGGGACTACTTGGGCTCATGGTGTTTCTTTAGGGACACCACTGTCACTGGGAAACATTTCTCATGACTCCCAGCATGACTGACAACAATCCCCCTACTTGATGTGACCAACAACACTCCAGCCTCAAAGGCCAAGGTGAGAAAGGTTAATTGCAACACTTTCAAGCACATCTACAACTTACCATCATTGACTCTATAGCACAAATTGCATTTCCATCTCCTCTGGTCTAGGAAGCTGACAAAAGGGTTGATATACGTCCGGCAGGAACGGCATCTCACAATAATACTGGAAGTGACCACTGGCAATTGCTGGAAAGGAAAAGCTTCCTGTTTTAAAGCATCCTCACCCTGCAGCTGCTCATCTGTGGTAACACCACCACCTACACTGAGCTGGCTAGGGAGGCAAAGCATCCTTGTTGAAAGAAGGAGTACTTCTGCATCCTCACAGTATCACTGCAATTCCTTAGTAAGACAGGTAGGAACTGAACTCTTAACGTATTTGACTGTGCAGGTTCCCTTTCCAAGCCTCTAAATTCTTGAATTTTACACTGATGGTTTAAGATCAAGTCCTGCACCCAATACAGATCAAAAAACAGAGGGGGCAAAAACCCCACATGTTTGAAAAAATCAGTTAAACTGAGAAAAAAACCCAATGTTTAAGAAAGATACTGCTAAATTCAAAGTTTTCTGGCTATTTCATGACATCCAAATCCATTCAACTTTGTCAAGTCCTGAGTTTAGAATTAATACTAGGTTTGAAATTAATAACTACAACTGATATGTGACAACCTGGAATTTAGGTGCTGTCTTCTACCACAGTCCAAATTCTGTGCTGCCTTTAAGCTTCTGGGTTTTTGAGGTTTTGGAGGCTTTCTTTTTTAATAAGAAGTGAGACCTGAAGGTTTAAATATGGTAGGGAGAAATAATTGAGAAAAATTACAGCAATCCTTATGGAATAAGGAAATCTCAGTTACTATGGTAATTCTTCTGGGACAAGATACCTGTCATTGTTTTATAATTCATTGTCCATTGTCTGGACTCTAGTAAAGGCATAGTTGATATTTCAGCATGTAAAGTTTTGAATATTTCTCATACCGATAAGTCTTTGAAAGGATGAAGCAGGAGCCCCAAAGGAAGTTTGGCTTTATTCAATAAGGCCTGAGTTTGAGGAATGTTAGTCAGGGTACAGCGGAACAACCTACATGGATGACAAAGGGTTATTTTCAGAGGCTTTCAAATAAATTATGATTTCAGTAGTACAGTATATTTCTCTAGAGCTGTTAATGGTGAATTTCTGTTTCCAGATGAAAGATCTCTATGTCTGTCAAATAATTTTGTTTCTGAGCTTGACCCACAGTACATACTTTGAGTTCTTATTTTACACAAATGTTCTTTACACAGAACTGAATGTTATTTTAGTCACTCAAGTCAAAGTTAAGCCTAACAATATTCAAAGTTGCAATAAATCTTTATATACTAAATGTTATTTTGGAATAAATCAGAACCAGCAATGTTTAAAAGGTGGTTTTAAAAACACAGTAACTATAAACAATCCCACAATCATTTTCGGAGTCTTGAGCACCTAGCAGCAGGTGCAGATGTATGTGGCAGTTTTGCAAATCCTGTCCAGCTTGTTTGCATGAACAACGTCACAAAGGCGCTGTTATTTCCTTTATCTACCATAAAAATATTTGCAAAGCAGAAGTCCCTGGCTATACACAGTCTGGTTGGTCTCCTCAGAGAGAATAATTAACTAACTGCCAGTCTCTTGTTTGAAATTTCATTTACTCCATTGTTTTAAATGGTTACTTTTCAATACAGAGGTCACCCATGTTTCCTCAGGCACAATCTTTTTGGTGTACCTCACCTGACTGAATTAACTCCTATTTTATATCTTCTCATCCATACTCACTCCCAGGCATAAAACTTGTATACTGTGCCTATCTATAGCTGCCATGTTAACAACTTTTTCCTCATACTTTCTACAAAGATTATTTTCCCTTCTTCAAAGTTAAACCCACTCACACTGTCTTTATTGTAACAGTGAAGCCCATTTTCAATATTTTCTACTCATAAAATTAATAAAGTATTTAGTGAAATTATGCTTATAAGCAGGAATTTATATTTCTATTTTGATGTATTATAGCAAATGCATGCTCTTACTCAGGATTGCAGTTGAGCTTCTGGATATCTTCATGCAAGTTGGGGACAGGAGCCTTCAAAATGGTGGTAGGAAGAATATTTCTTTCTTGAAGAAGATTCACAGGTCTTAACCCTTCCTGCTGTAGACTCAGGCCAGCCATTGATGCAGTTAAGTGATTAGTGCCCAGAGCAGGCTAGAGTCAAATCAAATTTCACAAATTAGCACCAACTACTTGGATGAAACCCACAGTCTGTTTAAAACCCCATCTATATCCCTTTCAGGTTTTTTTTGCTCATGTACTAATTGCTATTGTATAAATATATTTAGAAATGCTGGTTGTCACATGAACTTGAATTCTACATGTAACATAACAGAGTTATGAGAAGGAAAAAAGCATAGATTGCCTATAAAACTTTTGAAATACAGAGGCTCAGCTGGTGAAAGTGTTGGTCAGTTCACTTTGAATGTTCAGTGTAAGAAAAACCAAACACTTCAGCTAACAATAACAAAGCCACGGAAGAGAAACATGCCAAAAGCAGCTGAAAGTTTCAAAAGAAACATCCTGAACATATTTGAGGGTGGAACACTTCACAAAGAGCTGGCACAGAGCTTTTCCAAACTGGTACCAAGGCACAGACAAAAGCATTAATTCTGGGCTATGTCTGTCCTCTTGAACAAATGGTGCCCAAGCAGGGAATAAAGAAGCAGCATCCTAGGGATGCACAGCACATACCAACCATCATTTTTCTTTATCCACACACCCCCAGCAGAGGTAGTACTGAGATAGAAACCAGACATTTCCATTTTACCTGGTGAAAATGTTTTGATCCATCTGGATATTGCAAAGCAGATGCATTCATTCCTGGTGCTCCAGGTGGAGAAGTATGTTGGTAGCCTGGAGGTAATGCAGGGTAAGAATACCCAACACTTCTACTCATCTTAAGATTCGGGGCTGCAGGAGAATGATGTGGAGTTGCTAGAAGCAGAGTAGACAGATAATTGCTGAAGAACTGTATCTTACTTGAGGCATTAGTAGAACAGGAAAGCTGCCTGTTTAGTTTCTAAGTTTAAAAATACAGCTGCTGTCAACTTTGCAAAGGGCTCTCACCTACTTTACATATCACAAATAAACACATGCTAATTGTCAATGCTGCAAATTTTGCATTTAGCTCCAAGAAAGGCATTGAACCAAGTACATATGTTTGTACATAAATGCTTAAGCTTCTATCTTTCCCAGACTCTTAAAAGTTCCATAATAATAAAAACCATTTTTCCTCCAAAAGCCTTACCCATGAGGCCACCACCTTCAATTGCATCGTAGCTATTTTGCACTACAGACCCATCACTGGCAGCAGATCTGGCATCACCTTTAAATAAAAACAACAGGGAAAATTTGCACAAGTTATGAAGAAGTTTTAATGAGGTAACTGCAAAAAAAAACCTACTTGCTGGAAGAATATTAAGATAAGCATAGTTTGAATTTACTTTGGTTTTGAGCATCATAGTCTTTTTTTTAAGGAAAACGAAAGTCCCTACCCTTCTGGTTGAATAATCTTTTATGACTCCTTCCAATTAGGGATTTGCTATAGCTTCCAAGCCAACATGCAGTAAGGGGTCAGGGGATGCTCCTTCCTCAGCAGAGGAAGTCTATTTAGGCTAGCTGTAGTTTTCTAGTAACCTGTAGCTTAGGTTTCCTTAGTAACCTTTAGCTTAACCCTGAAGAACTTTTCCCTCTGATAATTCACAGAAACACTAAATTCCCTACACTTACACATTTAGTTCACTACTACTCAGCAAACAGTAACAGCTCTAACATAGTAATATACCAGTCAAGATAGAAATTCAATCTAAGATAGGAAAAACCTTGAGACTCAGAGAGTGCTCCCAAAGGACAGTTTTTGGTAAGTCAACTATGTCTAAATATACTAACACAACTATATATTGCTAAGGACAAGTAGGTACTCTATTTTTATTACTGTTTTTTATTAAAATCTTCAAAGATGACCCAAAAAAAGGAACTTGCATTACACACTGCATCTTCCTAGCAGCAGTCAACCTGCTTCATAGACGAAACATTTTTATCTCTCCAGGGCTCTGGAAATGTTTCTTTTCACGACGAAGAAAATATTTTCTAAGCAAAAGCTATTTCTAATGCATTTAATACATTTCAAACAAAGTTAAATCTGAATATACTATTTTTGTGCTCACAGAGCTACCACACATGAGAAACTGTCAATCTGAACATGGAAGGAACCAACAGCATTGACAGAACTGTGTTTGTAAAATTAAAGCTGCCAGCTCACACACAGCCCCATCTAGCATGGGCACTAAATGCCAAACAACCAGAGTCTGTCTGATACAGAGCCCTGAGGAGTTCTTAAACAATGGCATATTTGTGCAGAGCCCACAGGAAAAACTAAGTCAGGTATCTGTCTTCAACAGCTGACACTCCACAGCCTCCAGTAACTTCCTTCAGAATGCTAACAAATGCAAGATGTGTATTTCAGCGATTTTACACAGAGAAGAATACGGTACAGCTACATAAATAGCAAGGAATTGCAAAGTCCATATTTTATCTCTCCCTGTAGAATGAACAATACAGGGAGTCATACATGGATTTCTGTCCTAACAGTAGTCAGGGATGCAGAGAAATGAGATCCCTATCACTTTACAACACACAAAAGGAAAAAAATTATGCCAACTCCAGCAGACATGGCCATGTAAAACAGCACTTGGAAAACTTTTCAACTGTTAATTTCTTAAATTTTATCATGTCTGTTTACAATAATTTTTCTTCTTTCCAGGTCCTTACCTACTCTTTTCAGATTAAATTATTAGCTGTATTAGAATCAATTTTACAATTTGAGTTTCTAATAGAACAATGTGCTTGGCTTTAAAGGTTGCATATTACAGCAAGTTGCAGTGTTTGAATTCAACATAAAGAGCAAATTGCTCCTTACCTTCTTGGTTTGCAGCTGATTTTAGCAGAGGCTGTGCACTAGGTGGTCCTGCTACTGGTGGCCTAGGTGGACCACCAACTGGTGGAGGTCCTAAAGGCGGCCTTGGAGGGTGGAGCGGAGTTAAAGGCTGAGTCACTGGTGGAGGTGCAGATCCTATAAAGAGATTAACTTTTAGGAGGAGTTTAACCCAGCTGAAAAATTCATAAAAGTTTTGTTACAAAAATGCACAGATTGAATTCTAAGTATTTTTGTTATTCAGAGGTTGAACAGCATGAGATACATAATCCTAACCTGTGGGTAGAGGGTCTCAACTTCAGGTTGTTTCTATCATGCTTTTCTCATTCTGGGTTCCTGTATCTACTGATCTTTGTTGCTATTGTTGGCAAGAATTTCAAGATGTACAGAAAATATCCCAACTCTATAACCTAGTCCGGAATGATCATCCAACGTGTTTTAATTAAAAGTGAGCATTGTTATACAAAAAAAAAAAACATACCAGGGAAATGGCTCAGGAGGATTGAATGGCTATAAAAATTACTTATTCCAAACACTTGCTCTCATTCCGTATGCCACTTTCCAAAATTTCTCTGCATTTTCCTCACTAATTCCAAACTACTAACTGTTTATTCTAATTAAGTGCCAGAATCAGTTAAATAAATTCTGCAAGCTTAAGATATTTTGAACAGCATAAGAAAATTAGACAGGCATATAACAAAAAAAACTAGCATCAATAAAAATCTCTAATGAGGCTAAAAGCACTTAACAAGAAAAATTATTTGCTTTTACATGGAATATATTTCTGTACATAAGTCCTGTTTGCATGCTTAGTGAGAAAAAACAAACAACATACAGCAGTTTGGCAAAGAGAAGCTTGAGTACTAACTGTGTTTCCACAATAATCACAAGTTGCACAATAGAGCTATTTTGTATTAGAAAAGCTCTTACCATTGCATATACCAGCAGTAAAGCAGCAGGAGCAAAGTCTCCTATCTTTAGAGACTTTCTGAAGACTTAGAATTATCATTAAATGTGAAAATTACATGTTTGGGGAAAGGAAGCTTTCCATTGAACTGACCTCTATTTCAACAGCACAGAATGCTTTTCAGCTTTCTTTCCAGGCTGTGCTTCAGTTATTTGCATCAACCTGACATGCTATTCAGAAAATTACCTGAATCAAGTGGTTACTGACCATGCTTACTAAAGAGAACTAGTTTTCAAGTACTGGACTGATGTCCTGGTAAAATCCTGGACTGAAACATACTAATGCTCCAACAGTTATCCCAGGAAATGGTCTAGATCACAGAAACAGCATCACCCACACACAGCATCCCAAAACAATGGGACGCCATTCAGGAGTTACCTGCTCAGCCAGCTGAAACACCCACCCTGGGCACAGAACTTCCATTTCTAACCCAGAGATAGTATCCAGGTAGTTCTGATGGGTGTATCTGTTTTAACAATCTTCCACAAGCAAAATGTCACTGCAGAGTCAGTTCTGTACTAATTATTTTAAAAGGTCATTGAAAAATGGACATGGGTAGAATATCAAGAATTTTGATTACCTGGCTTCATGTAGCTGTTCTGCAGCGGAGGAGCCCCTGGAGAAGCAGCATATTGATAACTCCCTGCAGGATTTGTACTTCCTGGTAATGAGGATGGTGGCTGAGCTGACCCTGTCCCAGGCACATGAGCCAAATGGCTTGTTTGACCCCCAAGTGGCTGACTCACAGGAGTCTGGCTGTACTGCCAGTTTGAAAGCACCGGTGGGCTGGCTCCAGGAGGAAAGGTCCCAGCACAAGATACAGCAGCTGAGTTCTGTAATGCAGGCGGCAGCACTTGTGGAACAGGACCTGGCTGTTGTACTGGTGACCCAGAGAAAGCTGCCACTGGTGGTCTGTTGAGAGTCTGGCCAGGTCCTTGGTAATTGTTTAATTGAGAAACATTCTGAGAGCCACTATAGCTATACTGTCCAGAAGACTGATGTGGAGGAACCTTTGCCGGCATCTGATGGGAGTACGATCCTGGAACTGCAGGGCTGTATCCCTGGCCATCGGGGGACTGCATCAGCTGATTCTGAACAGGGCCTGGAATGAAAAAAAACAAAACTATATTTTTTAGAAAGGCAGTGCTGTGTATCACTTCTGAAAATAAAAGATGTTCCTGTGAATGTCGTTCCTTAGGATTTTATTAGTCTCCAAGCCATTTTAAATTTAAACCATTAGGTGTGACATAAGTACTACTGCAAGGGACATGAATTCAGCAGCATTTTGCTATTGACACTTATATCTTTGTTTTATTTCACAGTAACCTTGAAACCAGTAAGCATTCCAGTACCATCAATTCTCCTGGATTGAAACTCACACAGGATCCCATCCAGTCCTCAGAAACCCCCAAAAGCAAGCTGCCCACAGAGGAGCACTGTCCCACAGCAGCACACAGGAGCAGACCGAAAGCGGAAGATCCATTGCGTAAGAACTGCATTTCACAGGATGGCTGACACCAGCCTACACGTCAGCTTACCACAGTGACACTGCCAGCCAAGTGCCAGCACAGGTCACCACGCTACTTCTCAAGTGACTGAGTTAATCTATGAAAGTTTCTGCAGTTAATTTTAGTATGAGAACTATTCATACACATACAGCTCACGTGAGTGGCCAGCTGGTCACCAATACAGAATGAAGGGTAAGTTTATCATAAAATAATTCATTAGTCAGAAAAAAAAAAAACTTGACAAGTTGATGATGCTCTGTATGCAAATGTTGGTTGGTATACATGAAGTAAGTTTTACTCATTTGAAGAAGAAAAAAAATAAAAAAGGTTAATAACTCTCCAAAGAGTAAACAACATGGGCAAGAACATCATCAGATTTCTGCTTTACAGAGGAACAGGCTGACAGAATCCCATGGGATTTCCAGTGCAATAAGAGCTCCATCTACTACTGCAGATTGCTCATACCATTGCCACAAAATGGACATGCTGAAGAGAGACTATCAATTTTCAAGTGAAATCCTTCTGAGCAGAACACACTAGATGCTGCAGGCCATAGCCAGCTATGACTCCTTCACAACTATCAAAACACTTTCCCAGTGTTGTATCATTCAATTCAGCCAGTCGCATTGTGGCTCTCCTCATCCCCTAAAAACACAATTTAGATACTGGAAACTTCCACACACAGTCACACATTTAAAAAAAAAAAATATGGCTGGTTTCCTATTAGAATGTCATGGTTAAATTCTGAAAGGTGAGCAAGATCACATTTCCAAGTTAAAGTAACTCACACATTTCTGACAATAAATTAAGCTAAATGCAGAATACGTTGAAATTCTTAGGACAAACGCTGCACTGATAATTCAGCTCCTCATTCCCTAGAAAACCTTAGGCTCTGGGTCACACACAGCTGTTAATTCACCAAATATTGCACAAGTACATATAACTACTACAGCACCAGTGACCTCATCCCCACTGCCTCTTCTTCGTGCATAAAAGGTACACCCCGTATTATTATTACACCCTGTTTTCTAATTGTTCCATAAAGGTATTTAAAATGCTCTTTAGAAGCCTGATACTATCTCTTACCTTAACTTCAGGAGTATTATTCTCCAACCATTAATTTCAACATGCAATTTATCATTCAGTTAGGAAATCCTGTTATACCATACTGCCCTTACAATGCTGCTCCATAGATATTTGCAATTAATAATTCTCTAAAATCAAGAGTGTTTAAAGAAAAAGCTCACCAAGATGAAAATGCTTACAGTTATGAGTAACATTCAAAAACTACCCTGCAGTGTATCAGATGGGTTTCCAACAATCTATTTACAAATCCTACTGGCAATTAAACTTGCTAACTTTAAAAATTATGAATTCTTATCAAACCTTTTGACTGCATCTGCACAAACATTGATATAACATCATCACTATAAACTGTAGGAAAAACACAGAACAAATACAAATTGATTTAATAACTTGATTTTTCACCTTAGGGCATGATTCTATCCCAGGCAGAAATCAGAGTATTTGGATTGCTCTCTTATACACTGTTTTCCCTGCTTGAGGATAAAACAGTGGAAATGAGGTGATATCAAAAACTGACCTACTTGATATTTTCTATGGCACTTTATGCAAAAATATAAACGTTCCAACTTCAATTTTTATTTTCAAAGTCAGAAGCACGATGAAAAGTCTTGACATCCTCTTGTAATAGGTCATGTTTCCAAAATAATTCTGCACTAAGCTGCCAAAAAAAGTTATAGAAATAGCACTAAGGGACAAAACCCCTTTACAAAGAGTTTCACAATGCACAAAAACTTCTCAGGACTCGCTATTTGGCTGCAGCCAGATACTCATCTTGACCCGACCTCTTCACTGAGACCCATCAAGGAGTATCTAGGCTGTCCAGCTTTCCCCAAATGCTGCTGGTTTTCTGTGAAGTCGGAAGCAAACAAGGAATTCTGTGTGGACTGAAGTTACTTCACTTGCACAGCAGCAAAACAGCCAACACTCTGAGATCACAGAAATTAATTAGGAATAGAAGAAAGGCCACCTATTTAACAGCAAAAGTCTCCTCCACAACACAAGGCCATTTAACATTTCTAAGATATCAGGAATAGCACCAGAATATACATGAAGGTTGCTTGATGGTTTTATAAAATGGTCAAAGTACTAATGTGGATGGCCAGGATCCAAGTAATATTTTCTACCACGCAGAATTTCACTGTCCCCTACTCCAAGCCAGTTACTCAGGACATCACTTTTGCCAGCCACAAGCTCTAAGGAGATGCAAAGATAAACACTGAAAAGTTATGTCCCAACAGATGCAGTGGAATCAGCCACCACCAGTATCCACTTCATCTGACTCGACCCAATGGATTCCAAACCCAGCAGCTCCTAAAGCACCTCATGACATCAAAGTACCATGCTAAGGTATCACGAGAAGAGCAAAACATTCTAAAAGAATTGTTTCTCCTTCTTGTTTGCACTTAAGATCTATCAACTAGAAAGCAAATTAGACACCTGCAATTAAATGAGTACAGAATACTGGTCTTATTAAAAAAGACAAACAGAAATGAAGGAGAGGAAGGTTGTTGCTAAGCAACCCAAAGCTCTGTGCTAAACAATTTCCTGGGCAGCACATGGTGCTGCTGTGACAATTTACTGCCTTAGTGGACATGCAAGTTCAGGGAGTTACCTGCAAACACTCCACAAGCAACAAGTTGCAAAAGAAGGGCTGACAGGTATAGAACAATTTATCATGCTGTTGACGGTTTTCTTTCCTCACAGGCCACACCACTACAGCACTCAATACCCCCAAAACTGTTTTATAAAGCTTTGGTGTTAGTATAAACAGCAAGGATCACAGCATCCTCTCAACACACATTTTAAACAATGCTATGAACAGCCCATGCTTGAACAATTTAATTTATTTCAAAGGCCAGTAACCCAGACCTTATCTCTAACATACCATAACAACTGTTTAATTTGCATAACTCTACATTTCAGTTCTTTATTTTTCATACACCTGACAGCTGAATAGCCTGAAATTCCTCTTTCTCAGCTGCCTCTCCATAACTTCCATTATGTGCTTAATCTGACACTAGGGAAATGAGCAAACATAAAGCACTGCCAGTCTCTAAACCATCCCACTCAGTTACTCCATTAGCTAACGTTCTCTTTGTACAGCCTCTGCTCAGACCATAAGCTCCCAGGACACAGCTTCTCTCTCCACATTATGTTCATACTCTTCCCACTCTCTTGACCCTAGAAGCAACTACACAGTTAATTGCAAATTGTCGTTTTGCTGATGACTTTGAAGAAAAGCAATAAACACACTGTGCAGGAGGAGGGGGAAGAAAAATCAAAAGATCTCATTATAACTGAACTGCTTATGATGCAGCACAGCTACTGAAACACACAAGTGTATAATTAAGGAAGCAAGTGCAGAGGATGTGTATGCGAAATCAGGAGACACTTCCATCAGCACAGATTTGCACACATGCAACGAAAACAGACAGAGACAAGGCTGGCCCTGAATTTTTTAATCCTGGCTAGTAAGCTCAGTTTCACCTTCAATATCTCGTTATAAAGAAATACATTTTGAGGGGAAGAAAGTAATCAAGACTTTCCCAGTTTGCAGCACAGCGAACCAGATAATGTCGGCTTTACGAGAATGACAAGATAAGAAAGCCCCGCAGCGCCGCAGGCTGAGCTCAGCGATAACCACAGTGCCACATGTACAGCCCCGTTCCAAAGGGTCAAACCTCGGCTGTGTCACCCGTGTCACCCACAGGACCCACCCTGGCCAAGGGACAGCCGAGCCGCGCGTGTGACCCCGGCAGCCCCGACACGGGCTCTGTGAACGACACTTTCATACCGACAGACAAATGTACTCTGGGACACTTCTGCCATTAAAACAAACCAGAATGAAGATTTATTTTGCCTGATGAGCCGCTCTGCGCTTTCCTCAGTGACGCCAGGGGCAGGGCCCGGACCGACAGCAGCTCGGCCCCGCTGCCGGGGTCGCACCGGGAGCCGGCCCCGCCGCCGCTCCTTTCCTGCCTTCCTCCGGGTCAGCAGCCCCGGGCCGCGGCTGTCCGGGCTGCAGGGAGGGCACCGCCGCCTGTAACCCAGGGCCCGGGCAGCGAACGGGCCGTCCCCAGAACCCCTCCCCGCGCTCTGCCCCCGGGCACCGGCCCCGGCCGCCGCGGCCCCGGGGCGAAGGGCAGCCTGGGCCCGGGGGAAGCGCCCCGGGGCGGGAGCCGTCCCCTCCAGGCCCCGTCCCGCGCCGAGCCCCGCGAGCCTGGCCCGCACTCACCGTTGCTGTAGGGCTGCTGGGCCATGGCTCGGCCGGCTGCGCTCGGTGCCGTCCGTGTGGCGGCGCCGGCCGGGCGGGGGGACGGACCCACCGGAACTGCCGGGCGCGCGCGCAGCCGCACTGCGGACACGTGGCACTTCCGGGAGCGGCGCTGCGGCTTGAGGGGGCGGGGCCGGGGGCGGGGCGGGGCGGGCAGGCGGAGGGGCGGAGCCGAGCGAAGCCGAACCGAACCCAGCCGAACACAGCCGAGTGACACCGAACCGGGGCGAGCGCAGCCGAACTTAGCCGAAGTCAACTCAGGCGCGACCACGCCCGCCCACCCGAGCACAGACGAGCCCACCCGAGCACAGACGAGCCCACCCGAGCACAGACGAGCCCACCCGAGCGTGTGCGCCGCGCGTGCCGGTGCCGGAAGGAGCCGCGGGGGCGGAGCGGGCGCAGCCGCGGGTGAGTGTCGGGGTCGGGGTCGGTGTATGTCGGTATCGGTCGGTGTCGGTGAGTGTTGGTGTCGGTATCGGTGTTGGTGCCGCCCGAGTCCCGGGGCACCTCAGGCTGGGCGGTGGGTGAACGGGGCGGGCGGCGAGGGGCCGGCGGGGAAGCCGGGCGAGCCCGCAGGACGCTGGGCCGTTCCGTGTCCCGCTGGGAGCGGCCTCCGGGCCGCGGCGGGGCCTGCCCGGGGGTCCCTGCGCGCCCGGGGAGCCGCGGCCTGCGCGGGGCTCGGGGCCGGCCGCTCCCCTCCCTTGGCTCCCGTCCCTGCTGCCGCCTCCCGGATCTTCCCCCGGCACAGCCCCGGGGCTGCTCGGGCCGCTGGCGGCGCCGGCCGGTCCGTGGGGCTGTCCCGGCGCTCGCAGCGCTGCCTCAGTGGGTGTGCGGTGGTGAGCTGTGCTAAGTAACCCCATAACCCACCGATGCCCTGCAGCTCCCCGGGCAGCCGTCTGCCACGCTGCATCGACCTGGCAGCACTTGTTTGAAGTGTTGTTATGTCTTCAGAAGTTGCTGCTCTTAAGGGTTTTGTTCCTAAGTCGGTGAATGGTGCAGCAGCCCTGAGGCGAGGATGTGCTCTGACAGCTGGGCTTTGTGAGCCAGGGCTGCCCAAACCTCTACATCAGGTGCCCTTAGGAACTCGTGTGTTGTAGTGTTGTCTTCACAGGTAAACTGCTGTCTCAAAATTGCTGTCAAAACATTATTAAAATACTTTAAGAAAGTCTATGCTTTTATCTAATTTTCTAACTATGCCTTTCTTTAGCTCTTAAAATACAGCATCCAAATGCAGTTTCAAATCAAAGAATAAACTGTGTTTTAGAATCTCACTTAATCCAATGACTTTCCTATGGTTTTTTTACTTTTGTTGCCTGTGGTAATATTTTATAATGTTATGGTGATCATGTGTGAAATTATAACTTTTGAGTTACCATGTTTCTACCCTACTTGAAAAACAAAAATACACCCTTAGCAGTAGGCTTTAAGCCATTGCTTGCAGGTTGTGGTTTCAGACTGAACTGTGGCTGAAACTGTGGTTTGGTGCTCTCAGGCTGGACTGAGATTTCTTCACTGGCTCTTGCTGCCAGTCCCCACACAGGTGCAGCACAGTGTGTTCCCAGTTCATGCAGGAGCTGTTCACTTGTGTGTTACTGGTTTCTGTTTTCTAATTGTTCCATAAAGGTGTTTAAAATGCTCTTTAAAAGCCTGATACTGTCTCTTACCTTAACTTCAGGAGTCTTCAGAAGTGAGCACTGTCCTGAGGTTTGGAAGTGATAAAAGACTAAAAGATGTTAAAGGTGTAAAAGTAGTTGGTAGCAAAAGACTGTCTTGGTCCAGCACAGCTTTTTGTTCAAAGCTTTTGCCTGTTTCAAGTGGATTATTTTTAATATTCTTGAAATAACATTAAAATAGTATCTCTGTCTCCATCATGGCTTGTGAACAGTGATTGCTGAGTCTTCATTGTTCTGCTTTTGTGGCGTTTTTAATGTGAGCCTGAAAGTTTGTGTCTGTATATATTGAACAGCCTCAGCTCTTCCCTGAATTTCCTTGCAGTGTAACAACTCTCAAACCGGAGCAGAGCCACTCCATTTTGTAATGCTTTGATTTGGCATAGCTCTGAATTATAAAGTTATTTCCTGTGTGATAAGAGTAGATTTATTATCACTATTCAAATATTACCTGTGAGCCTTTACAATTAGCTGTCCATTTTTTTCCCATTTTTAAAGTGTTTTCCTTTAACTGCTACCAGCTGATATGGAGGTTGTTCTGGGAGGATTTGGGTAGCTCTGCTTCCAGCACCACTTTTCTTACGGTGATGGAAATTGAACCAGTATTAATGCCACTTCAGCTGTGTTTGTAGAGTAATCCTGTTCTCAGATTAATCGTTTGAATCTCACCCCTTAACGTTTTTTTTTCTGTAATGCATGAAGATTGTTTTGGTTGATGTTTTTTGGAAACCTAAGTCTAGTAGATTGAACAGGTTAATACAACTGAACCCTGAAGTTATTCTCACCTCAGTAATCTGAGCACTTCTCTTACATCACACTGTTTGCCCTGATTTGCAGGTTATTTGAGTCGGTTTCCCTAAGCCCCTCAGACGCTTTTCTCGATTGGTATTTTGCTCAAGCAATAAATAAATCTGCTGACGTGTGTGTTCTGCCATGTTTGCTTATTCTTGACCTTTGATTTTTAGCCATGCAAGGGACAGTTTCAGTCATGACATTGTGTAACTGGGTGTTTATGCATTGACAAGCGTATTTGATTGGTATTCTTAAAATTGTGCCTGTTGCAGCTGCTGTGTTGTTCAGAGTAATGTAGACATGGTTAAAGGTTTATGGGTTTGCTGTGGCGAAACCAAGACACCTGGTGCTTTGTCATCTGAACAGATTTTGATCCAATGCAAGCAAAGGTCATTTAAATATCCACTCCTCTTTCCACATTATCTCTCTATGATGTACCTGCTGTTGCATAGCAAAGAAACTCTGTCATGAGTTGCTATGATGAATTTCTGGGCTGGTTCAGACCTGTATTTTGACTCCTGTGTGCTGTACTCTAGTCTCAGAGCTACCCTGAAGTCTTCTTGTGATGCCCCAAGGCAGCCCTGCAGCTTCTAAATAAGTGTGGTGAGAACCTGTAGCAGTGTGGATGCATCTGCCAGCTGTGTTTAGCAGTGTAGCCCAGTTTTTCCAGGGTAGTCAGACTCCAGTGTCTGCAGTGGTCATGTATTCCAGTAGGAATTAGCTGGCTAAAGGCTCCTAAGGATGTTGCCCTTTAGTCTCCAAGAGAACTAAAATGCTCACAGTTCACTGTATCAAACTGGTGCTTTCAGTGTGATTTAGAGCACAAGTTTGATGAGGAGCAGCTGAGGGAGCTGGGGAGGCTCATCCTGGAGAAAGGAGGCTCAGGGGGAAACCTCATCACTCTCTACAACTCCCTGACAGGTTGTAGCCAGGTTGGGGTTGGTGTTTGCTCTCCAGTGACAAGACAAGAGGAAACAGCGTCAAGTTGTGCCAGCAAAGATTCAGATTACATATTAGGAAAAATTTCTTCACTGAAGGGTGGCCAAGCCCTGACACAGGCTGCCCAAGGCAGTGGTGGGTTCACCATCTCTGGAAGCACTCAGAAGTCCTGAAAATGTGGCCCTGGGGACTTGGTTTAAGTGTTGAGCATGGGGGTGCTGGGCTAACAGTTGGACTCAATGGTCTTAGAGGTCTTTTTCCATCTCAATGATTCTATGATTATCCTCACTTTAGATAATGAGGAAATTAAGATGAAAGCTAGGAAATTAATCACTCATGGCTACACAATGAACCTAGTATGGGCTCTCAGCTCAGCCTTCTGTTATTGAATCCAAGCTGAAGGAATTCAGTGGGGAAATACAGGAGTCTGATGGATTTTTTTAAGCAAGACTTTTGCATTTTTACGTTTGAATTGTAGCAGCCTGTGTTGGGCAATACAGGAGGTTACTGTCTTTGGAGGGTAATTCCAGTGCTTTGTGCTAGGTAATTGTTTTCCATAACAAGCCAAAGAGACAGGTTCTATGTGGACAAGGATTTATTTGGTATCAAACTTCTCTAGATTCAACTCTGCAAAATTTCTTTGCTTCTTTCTGTCTCCACTTAGAACCCCAGCAGCTCCCGGGGTGGCTGGAGCACTAAATCTGCACTGATATCCCTCTAGTGCCCTCTCTGAAGTGCCACCTTTCCCCAGTTGAAAAGTGAAAATCCTGTTTAAAATCTTCAATAGATCATCACATACCTTCAACAAATTGTATTTTGGATAAAATTATTTTTACTTCTTGCAAAGACTTCAGTCTTTAGTGTTCAGACAGTGTACAGACTTCAGTCTGTAGTGTTTTCAGTGCTGTTTTCCCGAGAGAGGGGATAATCTTTGCTGTTGTTCTTTAACAGGTCTATGATACAGTTTACCAAAACTATTTTTTTTAAACATAGGATTTTAAATTATTTTTGTTACCTATAAATATTTTACAATGCTTAATATGCTGTTCTGACAGAAGTTAAGTGCATTATGTTTTCTCTTTATTTCAGACTGTAAGATTCAGATATGTTCCTATTTGATTGGATTTACAGTGGTTTCAGTAGTGTATTGCAGTTTTTAGGTAAGTCATTATTGTTTGGGGCTTTTCCTTTCTGTTATTCTTGTGTAAAATATCTGTTCACCTCTGTTATCTTCAAATAAGACTGCTGGGTAAATAATAATATTTGGTTTGGTGTACATTCAGTAACACTCAAACAAGTTTCACTTACAAATACTGAGCATTTCCAGAGTGTGCTCTCCACTCCATCTTACATTAATCCTTCTTGAAAAAAATTATATTTTATGTCATGATCACAATAGGTTGGACTTTTCTAATCATACTACATTTAAACTGGTGTAATTCAGTTGGCCTTTATGGGTCTTCTCCTGATTTTTCTCTGCTGTAAAGATCTGAACTCAGTTATTTTAATTCACTGCTTTTGCGCATGAGGATATAATTTCAGAATCCGAATAGGAGGGACTGTCTGCAAAAAATTAGTGTCAGATATTGAAACCCTTTCTCATGTTCAGCAGCGTATTTTTCTGTGATTTTTTTTGTTCTGTGCCACAGAAAGTAATGTGAAACTTCACTGGCATCTACTCAAGA